TAGAAGTAAGGATAAAACATGAATTGAAATGTTTGTTTATAGCTGTATATATTCCACCTGACGCATCACTAAATGATTACAAGTCTTGTTTTAATAATAAAGTTTATATATTTGGCGATTTTAATTTATCAGAAATTAAAGGTACAAACCGTGATTAATGCATTGTAAGTTTAAAAGGAAATTGTTTATTGGATTTTTGAGTTTTAATTCGTTTATGCTTTTTAATAATGTAAAAAACTATTTGGGTAAAACATTGGATTTGGTCAAAGGAGATAAAACAAATATAGATAATTGCATGGTTCAAGAAGAAAAGGTTCCTCTAGTTTAAATAGATCAGTAGCACCCATCTCTAGAAATTAATTTAAATTTTAATAAGTTTGCAGATCTAGAGAGAACAAAATTGTAGATAATAAATTAAATTTTAAGAAGGCCAATTTTAAATTAATGTATAAGATGATGGAAGAAAGTTGTTGGGACACTATCACCCAGAAAATTAAAGTGAATAAGGCTATTGAAAAGTTTAATGAAATTATAAGTAATATTTTCCAGTTAACTGTTCCTTTATATAGAACTCATAATTGTAGACCTTATCCTGTTTGGTTCTCGGCTGACATTAGAAAATTAAAAAATATTTCAGAATTTTATAATCAGAAATTTATAGAAATTAGAAAAGAACTCAAGTCAAATTTAAAAACAACTTACAGAAATTACTTAAAAAAATTGAAAATAACAGTTTCGCGGATGTTAATGTATTCTGGAATTTTATAAATAGTAAACAAAAAACAGCAAGTCTAAAATATCTACATTTACTCTAAGTGGAAAATCAGTACCTGAAAAGAATATAGCTGAAAAATTTATGGAATTTTTTTCCTCTGTACACAATTCCGAAAAATCTATTTATAATTTGAATAATTATATAAATAATTGTGCCAATTTTGATTTGTGTTTATTATCTGAAATAAATAAAAATGATTTCAACAAAGCCATAAAAAAAGTTAAAGCCAAAAAAGGCAGCAGGAATTGATAATATTCCATCACATATCTTCAAAGAATGTAGTCACTTGTTAAAAATACCATTGTTACTTATTTATAATTTTATTGTTAAAAGATTTATATTCCCTTCACAATGGAAAATATCTTCTTATACACCTATTCATAAATCATGGAAAACATCAGAAATTGAAAACTATAGAGGAATTGCAATAAATTGCTCTGTCTCAAAACTTTTCGAACAAATTATAACAAATTGCTAGATCATGTACAAAACATCATGGATAAACAGCACGGTTTCGTTCGAGGTAGATCAATTAGTAGTAATTTACTTATATTTACTAAAAGTGCTAGTAAAGCTATAGAGGAAAAATTACAATTAGACGTTGTGTACACTGATTTTAGGAAAGCATTTGATCAAATCCATTATGACACATTATTACAAAAATTGTTAAACTATGGGCTCTCTGTGGGTTTTATTACTTTGTTAAAAAACTACTTAGAAAATCGATTTTATATTGTAAGGTTTGGTGGTGGAAACACATCAGGAAAGTATTATGCAAATTCTGCTGGTGTGCCACAAGCTTCTAACATGGGACCTCTATTGTTTACACTTTTTATAAATGATTTAGCATCTTGTGTTAGAAACTTTGAATGTTTCCTTTTTGCTGACGATTTTAAGCTTTTTAGACGAATAGAAACAGTCAGAGATATCAACAATATTGTAACATGGACTAAATCTAATGTTACTTTTTAATATTAAAAAGTGTTGCATACTTTCTATTACACGCAAAAAACTTTCAATAGTTTTTGATTATACATGGAACAACAAATATTGGAAAGACATCTTGAAGTTAAAGATCTTGGAATGTGTTATGACAATCAAATGTCGTTTGTTCCACATATTAAAAAAATTGCTCTTAGTGCAAATCATGCATTAGGTTTTCTTATAAGATAAACATCTCAATTTACAAATTTAAAAGTAATAAAATATCTGTATTTCCTTCAGTAGTATGGGCACAACAACCTCAAATACATTTATATCGAAATAAGAACCTCTATGCTCAGGGAAGAATTTGTAGTACATTCACTAATTAATAGACGTAAGCAATCTATGATTTTCTTTCTTTATAAAATTATCAACAATCACATAAACTGTATGCAATTAATATTGTATCTCGAAAACGAAACGTTTTCGGATCTATGTTTATATGAACTTTTACTTCTATTTTAGGATGTAGATTACGCTGTTAAAATATGACCATCTAATTTCGGGACACCCTGTATAGGCGTCATCGGAACAGTATTTGTTACGCATTATTTCATTAAATAAAAAAACAACTTGTTCATTACGCGCTATTTTGTTCTGACGTCATTTTGTCTTGCGCTATTTTGTCCTGCGCTATTTTGTCCTTTTGTTCCGCGCTATTTTGTCTGAGCTATTTTATCCTGCGCCACTTTGTCCTGCGCTGTTTTGTCATGGAGCTGGAATAATGAGAGTTGTAACTTTTGAAAAATCAAAAATATTAAAATTATTTTGATAAATATTTTAGTTCATTTCAAGTCCAAGGCGGTCAACTCTTTTTTTTATTTCTAACCCCCTTTTTTACATCAGAATTATAAAAAGGCTACTTTTCTTATTACAACGGTGTAAGGATATTTTTGAGTAAAATGACCTAAAATTCCAAAAAATGTTTATTCAAGGTGGTATACATTTTGCAGCCAAAGGTCTTAAACGTTGTGAATTTCGTTAAATATTCTTTCTCTGAGAACCTGAAGAATTTCTAACCTATTTTTGTACACCACTGACTTTAAATGACGCCATAATAATGTCCTGTGGTGTTAGGTATGGAAACTTAGCAGGTCACTCTATTGGCCCTCGTCTACTAATCCACTTGTTCAGAAATACCTGGGATAGGTATATTTTTACTGGGAAACCAAAATGTGATGGAGCACCGTTTTGTTTGAATCAAATATTTGCTTCATTACTTTCTTCAGGGTGCCCTTACTGCTGGAGCGATATCTGTCTCGAGGAGGTTGAATTTTCCTAAATAAAAAATGTTTCTACTATGTGTTGGTCAATGATTCCTGCCCATACATTGATCTTTTGATAGATCTGTGTGTGTGTGTGTGTCTCCTCTTTTCAAAGTTTTGGTCGGACCAGTAGGGGCAATTGTGACAGTTAACAGAACCGAAAAGAACCCCGCACAAATCTTATGGAAATTGGATCCCGGTCAAATTGGCTGAAATTTCGATATGTTGTTCTGACAGTTGACAGCTGTCAACTGTCAATATCGAGTTGTTACCATCAGTTTTGAACTCAGCTGCCTCAAAAACATATATTTAAGCTGTTTTTTAGCCACCACATTGGTTTAAAATATTTTTTAAACCATATTTTAAGTGACGTCATGAATTAATAGATGGCAAAAATAGATTGTTTTAAAAATATAACCTGCTGTCATACGACAAAATTTTAAATAATTTCGATCGTATTATTTTTTGATGGATTACCGGTTGAAATAAGTTCTAGAAAGGAGAAGCGAAGTCGATTTAAAAAATAAATTGATTTTTTTTTAATGATTATTTTAAATCAGATGAAGGAAGATAAGTATTTGATAGCGATTTTAATTAAAAATTTGTGGATTTTTAATACATTGCAATCTGAAATGTTGTTTACTGTTTTATTTTTGGTATTTTTCTTGTCAATTAACATGGCATCATATATTTATGATACGCGATTATCTAACGATTATTTGCTGTAGATTTTTTGGGCTTTTCCAAAGTTCATCAACTGCCAAAGAACGTTTATTTGCTTTTATATATTTGCTGGCAAATTCAGAATCTGAAGCAAACTACGTAATTATTTTTGCAAAAAACGTACAACTGATAAGTAATCCTTTAACCTTATTTCAATTGCAACATTGTTTCATAATCAAGAGTACCCTACAGGTAGATCACATCGTCCAACTGTTTATGATGACCATAAATATTAATAATTGTATTATAACATTATAACCAATTAATGTATGAATATGAATCACATATATGTATGAAGTTATCAAAAATCAATAAAAATCAACAAAATGTCAAATATATTAAAATGTTCAAAGATGGAATAGAGCAAAACAACATACAACAGTCAAAATCAGAATCTCTTATGTGTCAACCGTTATTGAACCATATGCCTCCAACTGGTTCAAAAATTTTAGCTTTGGTTTAAAATATTTCGTAAGTGACGTCATAGTTGCATCGCTAAAATTTAAACGGTTTAAAACAGTCGAAAATATTTTAAACCAAACACTCGCTAAAAAATACCTTTACATGTAAATTTTATTAGTTTTGATTGTCACATGCTGTTTGACAGTTAGTTGACAGCTGATCACTCTCAATATCGTCTTTTTGATATCAATTTTGAACTCAGAAACCTCAAAGACATGTATGGATTTTATTAATTTTGATTGTCACATGCTGTTTGACAGTTAGTTGAAAGCTGTCAACTGTCAATATTATTATATTGGCATTGGATTTGAATGCAGCGACCCCGAAAACATAAGTACTTCTTTTTAAACGCAGCAAATACTAAACTTTCGAGGAGATTGCCTTTTTAAGTAGTAAATAATGGTCCATTCGTGGAACTTTGAAGATCCGTAGGAGCCAAAATAAGCAAAATTGAGCTTTGTGCCCATTGAGACTTTTGCTCAGGATGCCGAAACGAACAACATATCCAAATTTCAGCCAATTTGACCGGGAGCCAAATTCCATAAGATTTGTGCGGGGTTCTTTCTTGAGAAATTCGAATTCTGATTACGACGTTTTTTTCAAAACTCGATCTACCATCAAAATCGTCCTCAATTAAATCTTGCAACAAAAGTACCTTATCGCGTAAAATGAAATTTATACTTTCCTACTATTTAAATTTAAAAATGTAGTAAGAAGGAATCATTTTCGAATTTCATGTAAATTAAATATAAAACTACATATTTTATTAAGTATATTTTATATTTTTCCAGGGCGTGGGAGTAGTAGATTTTTCTGAATTTAACTGGAACAACGCAAAGTCATCGTTAAGTCAGAAATATGGCAACAAAATTTATTTTGTAAAGGCAGACGTGTCTAACAAAAAAGAACTTAAAGGTAAGTAAAAAGGTAGAATTATTATTGACAATTTTAAAATATTCCTAACGAAAAATTTGCCAAGTCTCGCCGTGAATTTGAAAATAGATTTTACTTCTGCCTAGCCAACAATGGAAGTAATTTTGAGCATTTACTGAATTTTAATTCAAAGTAAAGGTGTAGCCATTTTCTTTTTAAATAGTTTTCTAATTATTATGTTACATTAAATATTATATCGTTGAATATAATTTTTTCATTAGCTTTCCAATGATATCTTCTTTATTTCATGAGATATAGCCAATGTTTTTAAAATTGTTACCCAGTATATGAATTATGAAGGTTTATTTGCAGAATAATTTGTTGATTATGCAAAAATTAACTAGAAAATTGAAAAAACTTTTTGTTATTCAAATTTATAAAAAACTATAAATTAGATTAAATCTTAAAACCTCTAGCTAAAACAATACATTATTTTTACAAAAAAAAATGAAACCTGAAATTTGCGCCTTTGTTAAAATTTACTTTATGATAGAAATTATTTTAATTAATTGAATTAATAATATACTTAACCTAAAGTAAATAAAATAATTTTTTTTGTTTTTTTAGATGCTTTCGAGAAGATTGTTGAAAAATTCAAAAACCTTGATATTGTGATAAACAATGCGGGTATTTTAGATGAAGATAACTGGCAAAAAATGGTGGCCATCAATTTGGTAAGAACGATGACAATTAATAATATTTCTATTGTTTTTACGTGTTAAATTGCAGATTATTATCTTTTGCTGAACATCGTAAAAATATTATTTAACACAAATAAAAATGTAAACATATGTGTATAGAAAATCTTGGGAATACCTTAAAGACGTACAATATTTTTTCTGTGTCCAAATCATTTTAAAACAAAAATCTGTTACGAAACATTGAAGTTTTGTCTGTCGAATCACGGAAAAGTGGTTTTTGACCAATTTTCCGACTGGATCAACTTTTTTTTTCGACATCATATTTATCGATTTCGGGAAATTTCCTTTCGTTTTGGAGAATATAAAAAAATAAATTTTCCGAATTTTCCAACTTTTCAGACGATTTTACCGAAAAAACTAAAAATTTACGTGTACTACTCGGCGGTTCTCACACATTTCCAAAAAGATTTCCAATGAAAATTAGGGGATATTTTGGGTCAAAAACTTTTCTGGGAAAAACATTTTGAAAGATGAGATAGAGCAAAAGACTCTAAGATAAATTATCCGGTACGACGAGGCGCGTTGATTGATGTATCACATGTCATGATTTTTATGAGAGGGGAGAAGTAAATAAAAAATAACTATAAAATTTAAAGTAAATACAATTTCAAAAATTTTTATTTATCGGTTAGTGCAAGAACATTTTACATTTTCCTACGGTATTCCCTCGATAAAGTAGTTTGGTAGTCGCGTGGCATACGACATGACTCACTAGTTTATTATTTATACATCAGTTATAACAGAAAATATGTTTTTATTATTGTAGAATGCCGTTATTCAAGGAACATACTTTGCCCTAAACGAGTTGATTGATGTATCACATGTCATGGTTTTTATGAGAGAGGAGGGGTAAATAAAAAATAACTATAAAATTTTCGCGTTTATTTCAGATATTTATTAATAATTTAAAGTAAATACAATTTCAAAATTTTTTATTTATCGGTTAGTGCAAGAAAATTTTACATTTTCCTACGGTATTCCCTCGATAAAGTAGTTTGGTAGTCGCGTGGCATACGACATGACTCACTAGTTTATTATTTATACATCAGTTATAACAGAAAATATGTTTTTATTATTGTAGAATGCCGTTATTCAAGGAACATACTTTGCCCTAAACGAGTATTTTCCAAAATATAGATCTGCCGAAGAAACTGTAATCATAAACACAGCTTCCATTTTGGGAATCAATACCGTCGCCAGTCAGCCTGCGTACAGTGCTACGAAACATGGAGTAGTCGGATTTGGTAAATTATTCTTTTAAGTTTAAAAAGAAAGTAGCCTTTAGTGAAATTAAAAAGAATATTTAATTACAATTTTCATAATATTAATTTTTTTACTGTTAATTTTTGCAATAAATATTAAAATCGCAGCATTTTTATATAGATAATAAAGAGATCTTTGAAATAAGGTACTTTCTATTTGCAAATTTGGAGTTTCAACTGTCACTTGAATGGGGTTGAAGGTAGGAGTGAATTTTTCACCTTGCAGGATGTCATTTTATATTCTAAAACTGATGTGTTTCGGGATTTTTTTATGAATATGCACAGTAATTGACCTACCGAATTTATTCTATTTGGCTGACACACACTGTATATCTTATTTCTAATATTTTTTCAATTAACTGTCTCAATGTAAAGATGTGGTCTTGTACACCTTTAATTTTACAAAAAGCACTCCCAAGTAACACACAAAGTTATAAAATGTTGGTATAATTGATTAAAACGTTACAAAACACACGTAATCGGCATATTATCCAGCATTAAACACCCTTTATTCATAATTTATCTTTTTTTATTAGACGGGATACTAAATATCTTAAATATGTTATCGAAAGGCCTTCAGGAGGAAGGTGTGACTCTGGGGAGAGCAGTTAACGTTATTAAAAGCGTCATTAATTCACTAGATGAAATGAAAAACGAAAAATACTATACTTGATCTTCATCTAAAAATTTCGGACGTTGCTGAAAAATATCAAGTATCATTGGAAATTCCCTCATCAAAACAAAAAAATCAAGTTAGTAGTAAGTTCGCTGATTTCGTCACCGAAACAAGCTCTAGAGCTAATATTGAAGTAATTGAGTATTGGAGGGCAAACATTTTCTAACGAATTATTGATACTGTAAAAGGGTTTCTAAACAAAAGGTTTTCAACAAAAAGTATAGTGCTTGCCAATTCTGTGGATAATTTTTTTCAGTTAGATTTTGAGGGTTCAGCGGAATTCATTGAGCAATACCGTGAAATTTTGAATATTAACACCTCTGTCTTAGGGACAGAAATAACCGTTTTAAAAATTTTTATTCTTCAATTTGAAGAAACTGTTATGATTCTATCAAAAAACACATAACAGAATCAGAAAAACATACCCAAACGTTCATCAACTTTTTAAAGTTGCGATTATTCTATCTATTTCAAGTGCGAAGTGCGGGAGGTCGTTTTCTGCCATGAGGAGGATTGTTGATTGGTTGAGAACGACCATGACTCAAGACAGACATTCAGAGTTGTCTTTGTTGTTTGTTGTTTATAGAAAAAGATGTCGATATCGACTTGGATAGTGTTGTAGATTCTTTCAGTCCGCAGCGTAGAAAACTTCTGTTGTAGATAATCAGTACTTTTAATATTATTCGTTATGTTTATAAGTTAATAAATATATTGGTTATATTGAAATAATAAAACCACTATTCACTATTATAACGTATTTTTTACCATTCATTGCACCGCAAATAAATAAAAAAAAATATATATATATATATATATATTTTTTAATCCAACGTACACCTGGGGCCACGCCCCCCCCTGAAAATTGAGGATAGCTACGCCAATGATGAGAGGTCCTGGTTCGAATTAAACAAAAATTGTTTTGCATGTTTATTTTATTTTATAAATTAGCAAAAGTCACAAAATATTTTAAAATTATTTTTTAAATTCGTAGATTTTCGTTAGTAGATCGTAGAAAAAACATTCTGTAAAACTCGAGTGGATTGTACACATCGCGATATAGCCATCATATCCACTCTTGTTTCATAAACTACTATTTCCATTTTTGTCTTTTATTTTTCACTTCTTTTCTAATTTCTTGGTTCCACCACTTCGTTTTTTATTGTTTATTTTGCAACTTTAATTATTGTATCCTTGAATTCTTTCCAAAGGTCGTCAATTTTTGAAGACATTGTTTATGTCTTTAAAAATAGTGTCAATTTCAATTGCTATTTTCTCTTTATATAGTTTTGCAATCTCTCTTTCTTGCAGTTTGTATAATCACTTTTTGTCTATGTTTTTTTATTATTTTCTCTATTTTCAATTTTATTTCCTAATTCTACTACCAATTTTAAGATAACAGATATATAACTTACATGTTTCAAAATTAAAGGATTATTTTTACCGTGGTGGTATCATTTAATGAAATATATATAATTTTTCAGCTAAATCCATTTCGGCTCAAGAAATATTTAAAAAATCCAATATACGATTAATCACAATTTGCCCTGGATGGATTGAATCGAATATTATGCATAAACAGGAACAAGCCGTTCTTGACATAGTTAATAAAGAATTGTATGCTATATGTGAAAAGATTGTGCCGTAAGTATTTATTTGTTTATTTTTTATGTCATTATTATATCATTGTTATCTGGAAAATTTCCATCTATATTAAAAATGTTTAGCGACCGATTTCAATATTAAGTATTTTCTCTCAAAAAATGTTGAAAAAGTAATAAATAATAAGATTGTTAAAAACATTTATTTTAACGATAAATCTGAACACTTCTCTGTGCAGCCACTTGCTTTCATACAAAAGGATACAATTTCAAGATGCAATAACATTCTTCAAGCCAGGTGGATGATAATAATATTACTGAATAATTCTTCATATTAACCCAACATAACTTTAGGAAGGGCAAAATCTGGGTTTTAAAGGAGTTTTCTTTGAACCACTTTCTTATTTTATTAGTTACAGAACGGTGTTTGTTAATGTAAAGAATGGCCGATCTAATAAAAATCTTGTTGATTTTGGAGTTCCTCAGGGGCTTGTGATGGGACCACCATTATTTCTAGTTTTTGCCTCAATGTATAGATGCGAATATGCTCATATTATTCGCTAACGATACGTCATTAGCGATCTTTATACTTATTATTCAAACTTATATCAATTGGTGTTCTGATTTTTCATACACTAATAAAATGTAACTAATTTTTTATTATTATCTATTTTAAATAATACCATTCAACAAATTGAAAGTTTCCTTCTAAAATGTATTTATTTATCTTAATGGGTTTTCCAAAATTTCTAAAAATGTTTAAAAACTATGATATTTTCAAAACTAATGATTTTTTAGAGCGGAGTATATTGGTGAGTCAGTATTAAAAATTATGGATACAGCAAAGCATGGATCAGTATGGGTATTAGAAGACGGTAAAACACCATATGAAATAGTTTTTCCAAACAGGAAAGATATGTGCTCAAAATACTAGGTACATCTAAGAGCAACATTATTTGAAAAAGAACCACAGACGTATTCAACTTTTTCAACGCAAGAAAAGATTAAACAGCAACATCCATTTCTTTCTAAAAAATTTATTTTTTTATTATAATTGTTACAATAAATAAAAATTAAATATGTATATGTATAACAAAAATGTAACTATCATTAAAATTCACAAAATCTCTTTCCTATTGTTCATCGTCGTTTTTCTTCGTTTTCAGTTCTTATCTGTTTCTTACAGCAACATCCATTTCTTTCTAAAAACCTAATTTTTTTATTACAATTGTTACAATAAATAAAAATTAAATATGTATATGTATAACAAAAATGTAACTATCATTAAAATTCACAAAATCTCTTACCTATTGTTCATCGTCGTTTTTCTTCAATTTCAGTTCTTGTCTGTTTCCTACACACACACTAAAAATGAATATACACTGAGCATCATAAGTCTTACCACCCTAACTAACTCATTACTGGAGTCTTGTTAGGAAAATCGCGGAGACACATCGATTTTTGATTTCTACAATGTACATTTTTGTATGAATAGTTTACCCTTTATTTCATCCCTTACTGGAGGGGAGCAACCCTTTCGAAAAATTTAAATGGCATGAGGCGGTGAGTAATAGCTCATTTGAAAGGGAGTTTTATTCTCTATTCAACCGTGCAAAAAAAATTAAATTTGCTTCATAACGTGTTGATTTATTAATGTTTAAAAATAATAAAATATCGCAAATAGGAAAGCAACTTAACTATCAGCGACCTTATCTAATGGCAAAAAGTCTTACTTCAGTCTGAACCAAAACCGATAACATGCAGGGCCGAATTTTAATTCTAAGGATAAGTGCGCTACGTTAATTTCTGTTATTCTGAAACAATAATTGAATTAATGAAGCAAATTTCAAAATTTTTTGCACAATTAAATAGAGAATAAAACCCCCTTTCAAATGAGCTATCACTCACCACGCCATGCATTTAAATTTTTCGAAAGGGTTGCTCCCCTCCAGTAAGGGATGAAATTAAGGGTAAACTATTCATACAAAAATATACATTGTAGAAATTAAAAATCGACGTGTCTCGGCGATTTTTCTAACAAGACTCCAGTAACGAGTTATATAATAATAATAATAATAATAATAATAAATCGTCTTTATTCACCATAACAAAAAACAAAGAAAAAATAAAATTTTTTTCTACCTAAATATAAAAATAACAAAGGTGAATAGGCGGAGTGTCAGCATAGGCTGTATTTCAACTCAACCTCAGTAAAGATCCAAGAAAATATCAAGAACCAAAGAGCAGATCCGAGATGAACAGAGATTATTGTTTTTATTAGAACCGTCCTAAACCGACAATCAAGCCTTTTAACCTTTTTTTAAAATTAATTAGAGTGTACGATCCAAATTCTTTAGGCAGTGTATTGTATAATTTAGCTGCGGTGTAAGAGAAACTTCGCTGTCCAATGCATGAACTAAATTTGGGAATTACTAACGTACTCTTATTCCGAGTTCCGTAATTATTACTGAAATGTGTGAATTTATTAAATAGATATTTCGGTTTTTGATATTTAAGAGTTTTGTGAGTTATATTCAGAATATGCAAAGAATGTAATTTTTTGATATGCAGCCATTTAGATTCTTTGAATTTCTGTGAAATATGGTCAAATTTGCGTATACCGTAAGCGAACCTAATACACGAATTTTGAATTTTTTGAAGACGATTTAAATCCCTTTGAAGAAGAGCTGGTCCAAATACCGTATCGCAGTATGATAACTTTGACATAATGAGTGATTCACACATTTTTAATTTAAGTTTAGGTGAAAGTATATCCCTTTTGGTGGTCGATATACAACACCAAAAATATAAGTCTTATTGTCATAAATCACAGATATCCAAAATTGTTCTAAAAAATGGCTAATGTTTGAAAATAATATTTTATGATTAATTTTTTTGTTTATGTAGAATGCTAAACCACCGCCCCTATCATCTCGATCAGCACGAATAAGTGTGTACGAGTTTATATCCACAATCCTCGTTTCAATCTCATGTGACAACCAAGTTTCGCTTAAACCAAAAATATCAATATTTCTGCTAGTAATAAATTCATAAAGTCTGTTGAAGCCTGTGAAAATAGACCGTACATTCAAATGATAAAAAGAAACATTTTTATTCATAATAGTAATTTAAACAAATAATACTTAAGTGATACTCAAGGAGTGTTTAAGACAAAAAAAAAAAAGAAAGAACAAATATTGTAAATAGAAAGAGAAGATCCAAAAAGAGATTTCTTAATATTCTACTAATTTTAGGACATAAGAATAACACAAACTATTTTCTTTGAAGTTGTCGCTTATCTTTGTTTCGTAGACGATCAGTTATTTTATCCAGATCCTGTGGGTTACTACTTGGTCCAGAGTAACTGCTTGATTGTGTTAAACCTTCGGAAGTAGGAGGTCCAGAGATAATGGATAAACTTGCTAAAATATCGGGATTGGTATTTAACTCTTCTAATGTGTATTTTTTGTTATTTACACACAAGCGATTATTTTTTATAAATATTTTTAAACCGTTTTTCTTTCCAGTATTCAGATGTTTTCTTAACTCCTTGTGTAACAGTTGGTCCTGTGGATTTAGGTCGTCGGCAACGAAAATGTGGGAGTCTTTAAGTTTGTTAAGATTTTTTAATACTTGACTTTTCTTTAGGTTAGACAAGAAATCGATTTTTAATATCTTTTTATTATTTTTTGAAGTAAACAGGTTTATAAAATTTAAATCTTGAAGTCCCAAGTTAATTTCAAGTTTACTTGAGAGAAATGTGAGCGCGTCTACGCAATTGAGTTGATTCTCCAATCCAAAAACCACAATACTGTTATTACGTAGTTTACGATCTAACTCAAATACCTTAGCTTTTAGGGCAATATTTTCTTTCTCAAGATTGTTGGTTCTATTACCGACGTTCATAAGTTCTTGCTTGAATTCAGTTAGCGTGGTTTGTGTTAAGTCCACTTTTGCATTAAGATTAAGTAAAAGGACGTGTAAATCGTCGAGAGTAACAATTTTATTAGAAGCCATTATTATTTTAGTTTGTTAAAATTTGTTTCCAACGCATCGGTTCAATAGACACTGCCAAAATTTTAAATCAGAAATGTAATTCGACTTCTTTTGTTTATCGCAGAAAAACCACTGCAAAAACAGAATAAACTATCTTGTATTTTTGGCTATAATACGATTTAATTAATAACTTTGTTAATAACTTTGTTAATTTGCATTTAATTCAAAAATTGGGTAGTATATCGGACTCACTGTGATTTTTCCTTTTTATTGGTGTTCAAACATCCGATTATTTTGCACTATTTCTCACTAAAAAAGATGATTTTTGCGAGCTACACCCAAACACAACTTTTATCGCATGTACTATATATCGGCATGAATGAATATAGGGGGGTAAGACTTATGATGCTCACTGTATATAAAAAAATGCTTCAAGTTAGAAGTATGTTGAAAATGTATATATTTAGTTTATCTTCTAAACATTTACAGAGATGCTACAATAGGTTGTACAAAATAACCAGAAAAAGCCTGTAATAACTAGATAGGAAAGTCATGTGTTTGACACATCGGATTTTTAATTTTTATCAGACAACATTGCTCGTTTGGTAATGAAATGATTCATGTCTTTGTCTTCACAAAAAAAAAATCTAATGTTTGTTTGAAAATTGTGATGCAGAATAGCTCGCTTTTTGTTTACGTAAAATTTTTAAAATGAAAGTATTTAAAATGATCATACAGGGTGTTTCAAAATTAGAGATAAATATTTATACAGGTGAAAATAAAGCAGAAAGTTTTCATGAACAGGGAGTGCAGAAATAATAATGGCATCTTTCCGAAGCATAATTATTTGACTATTTAAAAACTTTAATTTCTGTTCAAATTTTCCTGCGTTAAATTCGATGCGTACGTCCAATCAGACAACACCTTTGTATTCAAATGTTTTTCCAACTTATCGTTAATAGATAGCATGTAGTTATAGGCCTGAAATTCCTCTTCTTTTATATTTGGATCCTTCGCTTGAGCGGTGACCAAGAAATAAATCAAAAATAGAGATTCAGAAAATCGATTTAAATCGTTTTTGACAAATACACTTCACTAATTATATGCCGCATTTGAGAATCCACATCGGATGCATTTTTTACATCTAGAGCGTTTTCTTATCCACATCGGACACATCTGTCCCATTACATTTACGTATACTGAATCACGTGATCAAAGATTTACTACATCTCAGATGCATCCGATGTGGATTCTCAAACGCGGCAAAAGAATACTCTATATTCATTAGACCATGCTCTAGTTATGATGAGTATCAAAGCAGGGCTGGCTCTAGGCATGTGCAAAGTGTGCAGTTGCATAGGGCGCTAAATTCTAGGGGCGCCAAAAATTACATTTATCAATTTAAAATAAAATATTAGTGTTTTATTTGTCTAGTTATTAAGAAGAGCAGCCGTGGCAGTATAGATTTAATTTTAAATAGTAGAGTACTCAAAAGAATTTTTAGTCGTTTTACTGTTGCTATTTGGCTCTGTTGACTAATGAGTTTATCGACCACTGGTGTAGACTATACATAATTGTGATTCACCTTTTACTAGTTATTAGTGATTACTGATCACAAATATGAAAGCAAATGACTCAATTATTCTCCAAAATTCATATATAAATCAATACATACATAACTAGTAGGTAAAAATCTTTTTATTTTAGTTTTCTGTCTTGTTCTATTATGTTTTTCGACTTGGCCTTTTTTGTTACTGTCAGTATTTTTCCACAACTTAACTAAAAAAAAGAAAATGTATCCCTATAGGTAAAATATACCTTCCTCTTGTTTTTTTTTTCTAGCCTTACTAGTATTACTGTAAACATTTATCACATGCAATTTTCCTAGTATATTTTGTGGTCGGGATGAAATACTCTTCTAGAATAAATATTATATCATTTTTACAGGGTGAACCTAGTAGTGTAGGCAGTCCAATGTCACGCATAAAATATTACAAAAACTTTGTTAATGATAATTAGGAAGATATTTATATTGATATAATTTTCGAGTCCCTACCAAATTGTTTCCCAAGATTTTCATACTGTTTCTTGTTTTGTTCATTATTTTTCAGTATTTTGTATACTTTTTTTTGTTTAGTGTTTGATCTTCCATTGCTTTTTTAAATCTGCCTAACTTTAAAGGTAAAATGGGTATTATATTAAGACTGTCTAATTATTATAATTATAGTTATTACGTATATATTTTGATCTTGAAAACGATTTTACAAAAAAATATATAATATGGTTATTATTTGCTTTATATTTAGTATCTTAATCATTAATTAAGTGCTTTCCCCAAATAAACACATAAATTATAAAGATATAACCGATAAATCAACAGCAAAAATAACGATAATGATAATGACAGTAAACATGAACACAAGAATCCATTAAGTTTCTTCCATTCCATTTTTAGCATCTGGTTGGCCTAGTCAAAAACACATTGAATATAAGATAACGCTAATGATCTGAAAAACTAGTTGACCAAAAACTTTTGATATACGAAGTCAATACTAAATTAAAAAGTAATATATAAAAACTGTGAAAATGGTTTTCGCGGAAAATAAGGTGGCTTTGGTGACAGGTGGTGCTAGTGGTATTGGGCTAGCTATTGTTAAAAAATTATTGGAAAGTAATGTTAAGGTTAGTTTTTACTAGTTAATGATAACAAAAAAATAAAAACTTGTGGAAACATAGAATAGCCACAGAACCAATTTTTTTGAGTTATAGATGGACAAAATACATTTTTACAAATTTTAAGTCAAAAAAATCTATTGATTAAGCAAGATGGTATCTATCATCAACTGAAATACAGGGTGGCTCAAGGACCAGGCATCTTACATATGGAAAAATGGCTTTTTGTCAAATTTTCTGAAATGTTGATATATTGTAGAACTCGATGCTCTGATAAAAAGTGTCCACTGTCCCAAACCGATTCTATGTCGAGGTACAGACTGTTCATAGGGAATGTCATTTTTTGTAAGCAAATTTCTCATAACACACCCGTTTTATTCGCGTTTGTTGTAGGAAACATGAATTATAGATTATTTGGCACTAATATTTTATAGAAAGTTACTGTAGAAATTGGTTAATTACAGGGTGGTTGGGAAATATGAAATATGTTTTTTTGATGAATTTTTTTTATGACGGCGTTTAATATGAAATATCATTGTACCATAAAAATTTAGTTTAAGTAATTTGTTCTTGACGAAACATCATATTTTATACAGGTGACTTATAAATGTGGTAACAGGGGGCATATATTGTTTTTCGGCTTTAATGAGTCACCCAGTATAAACGATGTGTTCTGAATTTTTATTATTAAATAAATGTAAGACCTATCACTCTATATCATATAGGGTCTTGAAACGATTGCAAAAACTTTAAAAATTAGAAAAGCAGTTTTTTGTGCAATTTAAAAGTTTCTCCGTCAACTTTATATATTATAACATTAACAAAAGTTCAGTATACAGTGTGTCCGAAATTGGTGATGCATGTATTATGATCTCCGAAACTGTTAAAGATAGAAAAACGGTTAAATGGAGAAAGTTTTAGACAATTCTGTTTATAATTCAATGCCGTTTAGTTTGAGATTTTTCTCTTTTGGTTTTTGAGATATTTTAAAAAAACTAAAATGTCGCATTTCCGAAAATACCTTGCATTTTCTTTATGAAAATTTCTAAAAACTGTAACTTTCTTGGAGCAACTTTTTACGTAGAAAACGTTTGTGTCGTCAGATTTCATTTGCAACGTTTCGGTTTCTTGGAACCATCATCAACTTTGTTTTTTCATATGGGCGCCATATTGGATTTTTACTGTTTTGAAAAGCCCCTTTTTTTACCTTTCTAACGATGTAGTAAAAAAAGTTAGGTTATGGGTTACGAAACCAAAAATTATGATTTTGTTTTTAATTTGGCAACGTCGCCCTATAAAACACTAACACTTAAGGAGATTCTATTACATTTAATCTCTAAACTACAATTAATAACAAAATATTCTTATAATAGTTTCTCCTATGAGACAATTTTAAACAAGAAAGAAAGTAAAAAACATTCATTTGTCAACTGGCATAATAATAACTAAAATAAAATGTCTAATCTAAAGTTAAAAATGCGAACCATTTGCTTCTATATATTTCTGACAATTAGTTGTTCCATAACTGGTAACACGAAGAATTGTGTTACGGTTAACATTCGACAGAACATCCCGCGTACGCTGCTCGAAGACTTCTCTGCTTTCTGGGGGATCAAATTCATAAATTTCATTTTTAACATGTCCCCACAAGTAAAAGTTTAATGGGGTGCGAGGTCTGGAGACTTCGTAGGCCACCGCACCGGGCCACTGTTGGATATTATTTTTCACCAAATGTCTCAGATAAAAAAGTTTGTACTTCCCTGGAATTATGGGCGGGGCAGCCGTCATGTTGAAACCATGGTATAAAAAATAAAAGGTAGGATATCAACAGTGACAAAAATAGGACGGCCACGCGCATGACGTCACGCGTAGAGTTTGTATAGGCGCGAAAATATATGCTACTTACAGTAATTTGATGAATATTAAGGATAATATTTTAGAAATTACATGAAATATCTAAGGATATTATTATGGGATAGTTAAGAAAAGAACTATGAAGGAACAAATGCAAATACATACATAAAAGAAATATTTATTTGAACAGTTTTTATCTTTTTTGTTTTTTAATAATTCGTTTTGGTTATACAAATTCGACTTCTAAAGAATAGTTTTTACAACCAGAATAATGGAAAGGGTATCTTCGCAACTCGAAACTGGGAAAATTTCGCATGTGTATGCTGGAAATTAGGATTTGCAACTGGTTACTCATTTACCTACATTACATTACCAAATTGAATAAAAATAAGTTTTAAAAAAATATGTTTTTGTTTTTTTCATATAATTTATGTAATATAATGTAGACATTCATATAATATAATGCAAAGCATAAAAAAATGTACCAAATGCAAATAACTGCTACATAACATATGGTGGGTGCGTATACAAAATTAAAAGAAAATGTCACTGTATTTTTATTGGACGTAGTCGCTAACAGTTTTTTAATCCATTCATTTATCAAGTCGAAATATTCTTTTTTTTGCGACATTTACAATTTCAATTTTGCTTATATTGCTTATATTGCTTGTTTAGCCTTCAAAGGGTAGAGTCTCCAGTTTAGAAGTCCCAAGTTGTGAATGAACCAGTGTGAATCACATTGGTTTATTCAGAACTTCACATTATGTGAAGTTCTGATTCGAGGTCCCTCTTATAATTGGAAGGCTGAAAGTGCTTGAAATATATAAGAAAATGTATCTGCAGGGTCACAAGCTACTGCAAGGGCAGCTCCATGTCGAATTTTCTTAGAAAGAAGGGTAGAATTGCCTTTTAGCATGTTCCCCAGGGCCTCCGCTGGAACCGCCTTTGGGCCACTCCTCACTTCTGAATATGCTCTTACTGTCGAGGAAAGCGTAAAACAATTAATATCTTTCTTGAATCATTTCCTTTAATTGTTACTGTTACATCCGTACCATAATTTTTCAATGGTTTTCACTAAAACCACTCACAGAGAACAAAATTTACAACATAATATAATACAAATATCTGCGTAATATCTTATAAATCACTATAGACGACTCACAAACTACTACAACATGCGTCTGTCACATGATATTGATTTTGCGCCAACTCTACTAACTCTACGCATGACGTCAGTGCCACCATGACACCATGCGCGATATCCCCCCGTTGAAACCATACGTTATGGAACTCGTTATCTGGAACAACTTCCCTAATTGCCGGCACTATTTCATTTTGCAACATTGCAAGGTATCTTTGTCCAGTCAATGTGTGATCATAAGTAAAGGGCACAATTAGTCGGTTTCCTAATAAAATAAAATAATTTCTTCTTACGGCAGGAATATTAAAATAATTTAAAGGATAAGAGGGAGACGATAAATATTTTGCAAAACAAAGTATAAAATATCTTACCATACAGTCCTCACCAAACATTAAAGCCAAATCGAACTTGCAATCTACGCTGTTCCCGCAACTGAGGGTTTTCGGCAGCCCAGTAATGGCGATTATACTTGTTAAATATTCCGCAATTTGTGACATAAGTTTCATCCGTCCACACGATGTTATTTTGAAAGTTCAAATTCTCTTGACATTTGCCCGGGTACCAATTGCAAAAAGTTACTCTTCTGTTAAAGTCACCTTCTCGAAGTCCTTGTACAATGGGGAGTTTATACAGACGATAATGTTGTTTTTTTTTAAATGTCAAACGTCAAACGTCATGAACTCTTGACTTAGCAATATCTAAATCTTGCCAGCAATCCTTGTAGAGGACGTAGGATTTTCATGCTGACTTTCGATTCAAAATTCGCCCAAACCGCGCATGACGTAATGCTAGACGAACTTTCAAGTTATTTTGACACTTTTCGATTGAGTATTGTAAAATAATTTAATAATTTATATGTTTTTGTGTTAGTAGTGACTATATTTTCAGCAGGGAATAACTAAATTAATTTTTAAAATGCCGGGCTGCGCATAGAGATATTTCCGAAAGCCAGAAAATATGGGTAAATTCTTATCGAAGAAAGGACAAACCTAATTGAAATTGCCCTTTCCATTTTGAGGAAAGTAGTTGTGAGATTCCTCTTAAACATAGACGCAAGAAAAGGAAACTGAATTACACCAAGTGCACGGGCCTCATTCAGCAAAGAAAATAAATCGGTATTTAAAAATTTTAGCAGATAAAACATCCTGTCCCAATACAATGGTCCTTTTGAAGTAATGCCATGCATGAGCAGGACACGGACATATATAAGAATAAGATAAATGAACAGAAAAATTGGTTTTGAGTATTTTCAAAGTAAACTTGACAAAAAAATTTTAAATTTATCAAATAAAAAGTAATTTTTTGTGTACTTACTTTGTGTAAATAAATAATTTGTTTCTGCATACTTATTTTTTTTTTCACACAATAAGAAAAGAGATTGCAACTATTACGCCCAGAAAGTACAAATTTGGGTCAAACTTGTATTTTTAGTGTATATCTTTTACTTATCTTATGGCCAGGTTATGAATTTTGTCACAAAATACCTATAATTTATGAGAAAAATTAATATTTTTATTAGTATTATTTACCTTAAACCTTCAGAGAAATATTAATATTTTTATTAGTATTATTTACCTTAAACCTTCATATTTGTAAACGAGTATATTACAAAATAACCAATAAAGCTTAAGTAACTGCATAAAATCTAAAATTGGCAAAATATCGAATTTTAAACACTATCTCCCATTTAATGCTTACAATAATTCTGTCTCACGTGACGTCACCGTCAGTCGGGTGCATGCGTAGGAACATACCGTTGGTCTGTGTATCGTGGGATTATCATGAAAATATTCTTGAATATTTCTGTTGCGATTCTCATTATCCTTTTAATTTTTAGGCCGAGATTTTCCAAAAGCTCCGAATTCAAGTAAATTCATTACAAGTGTGGATAAATACCTTTTGTTGGGTTGTCGTCTATCCGGATAATCTTCCAAATAATTGTTGGCGGCTCTATCCGCATTTCTTCCATTTTTAATGTAAGATACTAACATATCAAACTTCTCTTCGTTCGAGAAATGTTCTGCCATTCTGCACACTAGGCCCTAGCAAAAATATAAAATGCTTTTAAATAAAAAAAAAATTCAGAGTTGTGACAGATTTATAATTCCTTATTTGTCTTTAATCCAAAGCCTACTAGGGTATTAATGTGTTGCGAGAAAATTTATTAAGTACATCAAATTGTTTACTGAGTTTTTGGTTATTCCAAATAATTAAATGATTTTTGAGTCATATTGGGTGTTGTGAAAAATAATAATTTGACTTCGTTAACGTATTTTTCAAAAGTTATGGTTTTTTTGACGTTATTTTTTGTTACATTGTAAGAGTGTGATATTATAAACATAAACTATTATAAGGATATTTTGGTTTTAATTGCAGTTTAGAGATTAAATGTAATAGGATCTCCTTAAGTGTTTTATAGGGCGACGTTGCCAAATTAAAAACAAAATCATAATTTTTGGTTTTGTAACCCATAATCTAACTTTTTTTTATTAAGTGTGATACATCGTTAGGAAGGTAAAGAAGAGGCTTTTCAAAACAGAAAAAATCCAATATGGCGCCCATATAAAAAAACAAAGTTGATGATGATTCCAAGAAACCGAAACGTTGCAAATAAAATCTGCCTGTTGTATGGAACCGTGTCAAAGGCCTTAGCCAGATCAATAAATAATCCTGCACATTTCCACCAGTGTTAAGGTTTTCCATTATTTTTGCTGTAAATTCATATAGTGCATCGTTGGTACTACAACCTGCCAAGAATCCTAACTGGTTTTGATGTAGAATGTTACACTGATTTAAGAATTCAATTAATTTTTGTTTTGGTCAATAATTCCTGGCCTTACATTGATCTTTTGAGGGATCTGAGCGTGTGTGTGTCTCCTCTTTTCAATCCAAATTTTGTTTGGACCAGTAGGGGCAATTGTGACAGTTAACAGAACCGAAAATTTCTTGAGAAGTTTAGATTCTGATTACGACGTTCCATAAAAATTTCACAAAACTCGATCTACGATCAAAATGGTCCTCAATTAATTCCATGCAACAAAAGTATCTTATCGCGTGAAATTAAATTTATACTTTTCTACTATTTAAATTTAAAAATGTACTACTCATTTCCGAATTTCATGTAAATTAAATAGTATATTTTATATTTTTCCAGGGTGTGGGAATAGTTGATTTTTCTGAAGTTAACTGGAACAACGCAAAGTCATCGTTGAGTCAGAAATATGGAAACAATATTTATTTTGTAAAGGCAGACGTGTCTAACAAAGAAGAACTTAAAAGTAAGTAAAAAGTCTCGCCGTAAATTTGAAAATAGCTTTTACTTTTGCCTAACCAACAATGGAAATAATTTTGAGAATTGACTAAATTTTAATTCAAAGTAAAGCTGCAGTCATCTTCTTTTTAAATAGGTTTTTAATTATTATGTTACATTAAATATTATATCGTTGAAAATAATTTTTTTATTAGCTTTCCAATGATATCTTCTTTACTTAATGAAATATAGCCAATGTTTTTAAAATTGCCACCCTTTATATACATTCTATTAGTTTATTTGGAGAATAATTTGTTGACTTATTTTGCAAAAATTAACTAGAAAATTAAAAAAAAACTTTTTGTTATTCAAATTTATAAAAAACTATAAATTAGGTTAAATCTTAAAATCTCTAGCTAAAACAGTAGGGGAAGCCGGGGTATAACAGGCACCGGGGCATATCGAGCATTAGCCCTACTTCTCTTGATAAAAATGTAAGTCCGACAATAATGTCCTGTGTAAATTTACAAAGACCCTTTTACCGTCTTGTCAAAGCATGTTCATGGCCGTCAGCGATATTTATTTGTTTTAAGCATAAGTGAAGTAAAAAATTTGTTTTCTTCCACTAATAATTTAAAGTGCTTACAAAATTGTGCAATACTTGTAATACTGTGGTGATTAGTAAACATTGCTGTCTCAAATCATTCATTAAAACATAGTTTAGCTATAGCTGTTTTAGTAAGGTATTGCAAATAATTGAAGACACTGGTGCAAAAAGGGGGTATCTCAGTTTTTATTAATTTTTCAGGAGAAGGTAAAAACAATTTAAATTTAAGAATATTTATTTAAAAATTTTTTTGTAAGCATCAGGATGTAGTTTAGTAAAGAACACAATAATTGGTCAAAATTTAACACTTTTAAATAATTACAGAACAGCATTTAAAAATAAATTGAGGAGCTGTCTACTTTTTGCACCGAACTGAAGTAGGGGACAAAAATATATTCCGTATAACCTCTTTATAAACGAACAGAGCTGCCTCGTTCTTGCTCCAATTAAAAGAGCGTCCTTTTATTAGTATATTCCACTATAAAATAAAGAATACTATAAAAATGGACCTGCCTCCTTTTTGCACCAGTGTCTTCAATTAATCATGGTATTCGGGACATAATAAACGGGGCAAAATGAGCTGCCCGTTTTGCCCCAGTATCGCTTACAGCTCTTGCACGTGTTTAACAGGTTAAGCGCCAAGCTGTTTTGAACAAAACTACCACCTGGGCCAACACACTTTTTTGCCTGAATATTGTTCTTTGGATAGATTTGAATATGTTGTATTCATGCTGAAGCCTAATACTTTTTTTTTCTCAAAAAAAGACGAGAGGACACCGGTGTCCGACGTGGCACTGCCAGATAGGCGGAGGACACCGGTGTCCGCCATGGCCTGAAAAAGGTGCAATTTTAGATAGGTGTACCACTCCCTCCCACGACATAGCCCTTCCACTTTTACTGAACATGCCAGAGCTTGCAAAAGCAGCGATCAGCAAATAATTATTTGTTATTGAGGTTCGCAGTCGCACGTGTGTGGCATTAGACAGTGACTAAAAATGAGTAAACGTTCAAAACAAATTGTAAAATTAGCTATTGAAAAACATAATGAAGGTAGGTAATTATTATACTTTTGCTTAGTAAATATAAAAATATCCGACTTATTACCAATTTTTTTACAGATAGTAGTTCTGACGAAGAACCATTTTTAGACGATTCTTACGATGACCCGGCGTATCGGGTAGTAGTTCAAAAGCTGAAGAGAGTGACACAAGAAGTGATTCAAGTAAATCTACAGAGAGATGTTAAAAAAATCGGCCGAGACTGCTAAATCTTCAGATGGTAGAAAAATCAGTGAATATGTTACTTTTATAAAAGACGATAACCTGGTTGCTTAGGTGAAATTTCTCATAAACGTATTAAGTTGTCGAAAAAAAAAAGGGCAAAAAAAGGCTAAATCAGAAAATAGTGACGATGAGGTTCAAGATGAAATCCAGGAAATAGAAGTTGATAATCAAGAGAATAACATCGGCTTAGGACTCCGTAATTTAGCTAACTCCAATTGGAGACCACCTGTTGGAAATCATTTACAATTTGAGGAAACTTTTGATGATGGAATAAAGACGGAGTATCTAGCATCTTTGAAGAGTTGCAAACCACTAGAATACTATCTAGCTTTTGTTGATTTTTCTATAATAGATCTAATAGTGGACCAAACTAACCTGTATGTGACCCAATGTGTTATGGATACAAAAAATATTACAAATAGTACCCGAATTCATTTTTGGGAGCCAACCAATTTTGCATTTTATAGGTTTACTGGGATATATGGGCATTGTGCGAATGAATACCATTCGTGATTATTGGTGCACTAAATGGCTTTTCAAAAACGAAGTTGCTCATAAAATTATGAGTAGAAATAGATTCGAACTATTATTGAAAATGTTTCATTTTTCGGACAAGGCATGCCCAGAAGGAGATAGATTATATAAAGTGCAACCGCTTCTTGACAATGAGTGAAAAACTGGCAATATATCTACACACCTGGAAAGTCATTCTGTGTAGATGAAACAGTAGTGCCCTTTCAAGGTAGGTTGCTGTTCAAACAATATAACCCCCAAAGAGGGCATAAATATGGAAATAAGATTTTCAAACTTTGTTGTGAAAATGGATACACTTGGAATTGTAAGATATATTCTGGGAAAGAACGAGATGAAAATCCTGATAAAATACCCATTTCAATTAAAGTTGTAATGAACCTAGTAGATGGACTGTTAGAGAGCGGTAGGATTTGTGTTACATACAATTGGTACACAAGCATGCAGCATACCCTCTTGGATCACAAAACTCACTCACTCGGAACATAACGAGGTAATCGCAAGGGAAACCCTCCAGAAGTAATTTCCAAAAAAACTTAAAAAGGGCGAAATTATCGCTCAAGAAAATGAACGAGGAAAATGTATTGTGAAATGGCGCGACAAAAGGGATGTGTTAGTTTTGACCACTTATCACACTGATGAAACAGTATCAGTTCAACGCCGTGGTGGTGTAGTACACAAACCTAAAGCAATCGTACAATGGTAAAAGTTCAATAGACATGTCCAGCTATAGCACGGCGTTCAGAAGAAGTGTTTGATGGTATAAAAAGGTAGCTATAGAGGTACTTTTAGGAACCTCCATGGTTAATGCGCATTTTATTTACAAACAGGTAGAAGAGAGCAATATATAATATATAATAGATTTTCGATATTCGGTTGTTGAAGATTTATTGCTATTTGACGATAATTCAGAAGACTTGCAGAACCCTACATCTACTGTAAGCTTGAGAGCTCATGTACTTCAGAAATTAGACTGCAAAGCTCGTGAAAATAGACGGTATTGCAAAGGTTGCTACAAAAAAAACAGGATGGTATTCTTGACAAAAACAAAGTAAAAAAAGTGGCAACTTACTGTATGCAATGTGTAGGCAATCCAAGATTTTGTCTTTCTTGTTTCAACGATTTCCACAAGAAATAATTAATATTTGATTTTATGTCACTTTTATATTCGTCAAATAATTTTTTTCCAAATGTATTTTTGATGGGTTGTTAGTAGCTGCGTGAAACGGAGAACTTTCAGTCCTGGGCCACACACACGAAACGTGACAGAAGAAACCCAGAACCGGGGATGTGTAAAGCAGTGCCACCGGCGGTCTCACAGCATTAAAAACTTCTATAAAAGTGCGTCCGCTTGACCGAGGCGCATGAATAAAACTTCGATAATCGGGCGGACACCGGTGACATTCATGGCCCATGTGGAAAAACTTGAAGCGGGCACAGGTGTCTGCCATGGCGCTTAACCTGTTAATGAAACATCTTAGTGTGTATTATGCTAATGAAGTCAAAAATTAGTTACGTACGAATCCCGGTCGAATTGTCTCACATGATTTTGGGTATTCCAAAAGCCCCCATTAAATAACGAATTACTAGAAAACAAGGAACAAGGCGTATATTAACTAATTCTTCATACAAAATCGAACTAGAAAAATCTGCTATGGTCAAAAAGTCTCAAACGGAAACACAAAAGAATAAAAAGAGGAAAGTATTTGACTATCCACAGAGTTTTAACAATAACAAATGTCATGATGTAGCACCATCAACATAACAGACAGAATCAAACCTCAAGATAAATAGTCAAGAACGAGGGAAAAGAATAGCGATTCTAAAGAGGATGGCGAAGATGATGTTCAATGTTTCTATTTTATATATTTCTACTTGGATTCCGATTAAGATTGGGTGGTGTGTCGTCCATGCCAGAAATGTACCCATATTTATGATTTTTGCAAATAAATACAAACCAACTTTCCCGTGTGCCTATTTTGCCCACATCACGGGGCAAATATATGACATTATTTTTTTTTAATTGTGGTTATGCCCCAGCTGCTTATTTGTAAATAGTAGACGCGTTATCCCTTCGGTAAATTTCGGCATGCCCGAAGAATGTTAATATTTAGCAGATGGGTCCGCCAGAGTACGCCTGATACGTCTGCTGTTTACTGGAGTAAGTGTAGCATAGGAATTTTTATTTTCATAATCAGATAAGGCGTCAGTTGTCTGCCTGATACGTCGGCTTTTTCACTGTTTTAGCTTTAAATGTAAGATAAAAAAATGCGTTAGTTACCAAATAAATAGGAATATAAAAATGCCAAAGAAAATAATGTGATCCTCTGCAAACTATTCAGTAAAGAAGAGATAGAGGTAAGTTTAATTTAAAATGTTGGTACAAAAATCTTTTGTAATATTATGATATGACCACGTTGAGATAGAGAACGCTAATGGCATGAAACAATAGTATTGACCGTTTCGAATAGTAAATAGTTAGTGAGGTATTTGATTTAGTTATTAAATATTTTAATAACCTGTCAACTTTTGAAAGGATTATGATATCAATTTCATCATTTTAACTGACTTCTACATATCCGGTTGACTTAAAATTTAGTATGCATTTATAGTTCCGATAATAAAACTATGGTGTTATTAGGTTAAACCTTTCCCCACTTCAAGGGTAGTGGGGGAACTCGCGTATCGGGGACAACACTAATCTTTTGTAGTGCGCATGTCGTACGTGTTTTATTTGTACATCGGTCTCCTTTTGACAGAGTAGTTGAGCTCTGTCCAGGCCGTTGGTGTTTATGCCGGTCGGCGTAGCCAGGTATGGATTGAAATTTTATGGTGGCGGCGAAGCCACTTCGCTTCGCCGCCACCCTACGAGAAGTCGTTACTTCGTCTCCGTGTTATCCGTGTTATTAATTTAAAAAAATATATGTAAAGTTAGTAAACCAAAGCTGCAACTCTTGAGATTCAAGTGTGTGCAAATTTAACCTAAACTAAGCCTAAATAATTCAGAGAGTTGGGGGTGGGTATTTGTTAATTTTCTACTTTCTAGTGCATTTAATAAAAGCATGTTCTCAAAGAAGATTTTTTAATTAAATCTATTACACGTTTTGACGTCTAGTTCATAGGTTCAAATTTTTCTATCCATTTTAAACTAAACTAGACACTTGAAACGTGGCAGGATGATATAAGAGTTAGGTGACAATACAATATTCTAATTTATTAATTAGAAAAATACATTTAAATAATTATTGAAATCCACCCCTTTCATTTACAAATGTTGCAGAATTTATCAACTCCACCTAAGTAATTCGTACTTTCTTCCATAGACATGGGTATCTCACCTTGAGGCGGTAACTAAAGAAACCCGTACATTTTTGCTACTCTTAGGCGTCGTTTACCAAGCATTTCTTCCTGACTCGTCTGCTATATACCACTCTATTTCGGCTCGCTTTTTTGCGGACGAGTCTTCTGCTTACAAATATGCGCCCCGGCTTCCCCTACATTATTTTTACAAAAAAAAAAACCTGAAATTCTCGCCTTTGTTAAAGTTTACTTTATAATGGAAATTATTTTAATTAATTGAATTAATAATATACTCAACCTAAAGTAAATAAAATGAATTTTTTGTTTTTTTTAGATGCTTTTGAGAAGATTGTTGAAAAATTCAAAAACCTTGACATTGTGGTAAACAATGCGGGTATTTTAGATGAAGATAACTGGCAAAAAATGGTGGCCATCAATTTGGTAAGACGATGACAATTAATAATATTTCTATTGTTTTTACGTGTTAAATTGCAGATTATTATCTTTTGCTGAACATCGTAAAAATATTACTTAATACAAATAAAAATGTGATAGCCAAAGTGAACATATATGTGTATAGAAAATCTTAGGAATCCTTTAAAGACATGTACAATATTATTTCTTTGTGGGTCAAATCAATTTAAAACAAAAATAATCTAATTACGTGTTGTCTGTCTGACTGTCCATCATTTACGAAACATTGGAGTTTAGTCTGTTGAATCACATTAAAAAAAATTAAACGTATTTTCGGAAAAGTGGTTTTTCACCAATTTTCCGGCTGGACCAACTTTTTTTTTGACATCAGATTTATCGATTTCGGGAAATTTCCTTTCGTCTGGAAAATATAAAAAAAATCAAATTTTTTCAACTTTTCTGACGAATTTTTCGAAAAAATTAAAAATTTGCGTGTACTACTTGGAGTTTCTCACACATTTCCAAGAAAAATTTGGGGAAATTTTGGGTCGAAAACTTCCGGGAAAAACTTTTTAAATAATGAGATTAAATAAGGAAATAAGCAAAATCATCTTAAGAAGAATTATCCTGCCCAACGAGGCGCGTTGATTGATGTATCACATGTCATGGATTTTATGACAAGGAAGGGGTAAAAAAGAAAAAAAAAAAGAAATTTAAAGTAAATGCGATTTCAAAAGTTTTTATTTTTAGGTTGGTGTAAGAAAATTTTACATTTTCCTACGGTATTTCCTACGATAAAGTAGTTTGGTAGTGGCATGGCATAAGACATGACTCACTAGTTTATTATTTATACATCAGTTTTAACAGAAAATATGTTTTTATTATTGTAGAATGGCGTTATTCAAGGAACATACTTTGCCCTAAACGAGTATCTTCCAAAATATAGATCTGCCGAAGAAACTGTAATCATAAACACAGCTTCCATTTTGGGAATTAATACCGTCCCCAGTTTGTCTGTATACAGTGCTACGAAACATGGAGTCATCGGATTTGGTAAATTAATCTTTAAATTTAAAAAAAGTAGCCTTTATTGTAATTAAAATGAATGTTTAATTACACAGGAATTTTACAATTTATTTTTTTACTGTTCATTTTTGCAATAAATTTTCACAGTATCTAGATACACGCTAATTTGTACGCAATTCAAAAAGTTATATACACGCGAAACATCTTGACAGAGTAGGTGAGCTGTGTACAGGCCGTTGGTGTTTGTGCTGGTCGGCGTAGCTAGGTATGGAACGAAATTTTCTGGTGGCGGCGAGGCCGCTCCCTACGAGAAGTCGTTGCTTCGTTTTTTTGTTGTCACGGCATTATTATTATTTGTTCATGTATGTGAAATTTGCTTGTAAGGTTTGTAAAATACTACTGCTGGTCACGGCGTAAATGACGCATTCACACAAACACAGCAATATGACCTTTCGCGTGTATATAATTTTTTGATTTGTGTACACTTTAGCGTGTACCTAGCAACAGCGATAAATTTTAAAATCATAGCATATTTTAATAGATAATAGAGAGACCTTTTAAATGAGGTACCACAGCCCCTTACTTGCTATTCGCAAATTTGAGGTTACAACTGACACTTGAATGGGGTTGAAGGTAGGGGTGAATTTCTCACGTTACAGGATCATTTTATATTCTAAAATTGATTTGTTTCGGGATTTTTTATTAACATGCACAGTAATTGAGCTACGAAATTTATTTCATTTGGCTGATACCCACTATATATATTATTTCTAATATTTGTCAATTAACTATCTTACAGTAAAGATGTGGTCTTGTACTCCTTTAACTTTAAAAAAAGCACTCTGTGATTCTTCTAATTGATGTTCTATTGTACTTTTTAATCTTTTTACAAGGAATCTTTCATATACTTTTATCACTGTATTAGATTATATTTGCCTTTATTGTTAAGGCCAGAGTCGGCTTTAAATAGTTTTAAATTCGATGATTAAATGTACTGAATGAATAATAAAAATATATTATTGTTTTTATGTTCATTATACACTGTGTATATAAAGTATGGAATATATTCATTTTAGGCTATACAAACAATTTTTAGGAAAAATCCTGAGTAAGGTCGATTTTTGATTCAAATTTAATGTATTTTTGTATAACAATGAAATATAAAGGGTTAAAACCATTTGTGAGTAACGATTTCATCGAGAGGCACTCTCTGTATACTTTATTTTTTAGATTTTAAGACGATTTCAAAAATATATCATGCTTTCTAAATTTGCTTGTTGACACTTTAAAAATGCTTTTATCTATAAAACAAAGGATTGAAGTTCTTATGTTAATTGGTTGTAGCGATAAGATGCAAACTCAACGAGAGGTATGTGCTATATGTTTAATAATAAATATCCAGAAGTCAGTTTAGAGTGAGCAAAATTAAAAAAAATAGGGGGTTTGGTACCATAGAAGATCTACCTAACTCAAGTACTTGACGATTATACTAAATTAAACATTTTATTGGCTATGGAAGCAACTCTTCACACAACAGTATATTTGGCAAGTTAGTCGATAACATGTTCATTTTACTACTATTCCTAAAGTATTTAAACATGAAAAGTGACATTCCTTTAAGGCAGGCCCGCACAACTCAGATTTTCAAAAGGCTATAACTGTACGAGGGCCGCCAAGAGAAGCCTCAGCCTACAATAGTCGGTTCAGATTTCTAAACATTTATAAACCAACTCCTGCTGGTCGAGCTTCTAAAAAAAAAGTCGTCAGCTTATAATGTATAACCCATCCTGCTGATCGAATTTTTTAATAAACAAAAGAAAAACAAAAAAAACAAAAAAACAAAACAAAAACAAACAAAAACAAAAAAAAAAACAAAAAAACAAAAAAAACAAAAAAAACAAAAAAAACAAAAAAAAAACAAAAAAAAACAAAAAAAAAAACAAAAAACAAACAGAAAAACGAACAAAAAACAACAAAAATATACCAAAAAAAAAACAAAAAAAAGGTCACGGCGGGCCGTTTGTTGGTGCAGCCCTACGTGTACCTTGTACAAGAACTCTCAGATGACAACCCGGATCGCAGAATGGAATTTAGCGAAATTTTGATAAGTGTAATAATTATACACTTTTCGCAAAACACGTCATTTTTTCTGATGAATGCACATTTACATTAAACGGTGAAGTCAACAAACAGATTTATGAATATTGGGCCGGAAATCCTAAATGGGCGGGTAGAACATCACACTCAATATTTACAGAAAATTAATGTTTGGGCAGGAATTATTCGATATAAAATCATTGGACCCTATTTTTTTGATGGAAGTCTAAACAGGTCAACTTATCTGCTTTTTTTAATGAACTTTTTGATTCCAACTTTAATGAATTTAATATCGATGAAACTCTGTAATATCAACAAGATGGGACGCCGCCATATTATGACAGCCGCCGTTCGAACATATCTTGACGAGTTTTCCCCAATAAGTGGATAGGTAGCCGAGGACTCATTTAGTGGCCACCAAAGTCACCGGATCTTACGCCATTAGATTTCTTTTTGTGGAGTCATCTAAAAAATATTGTGTATAGAAGTAAACCCGACATAAATGAGTTAAAAGATAGAATAAGGAAAGAAATAAATAACATTTCGCAGGAAACCAATAATAAAATTCAGCAGAAATGTATTGATCGCTTAAGACACAAGAAAGAAGACAATTCTAGCACGTACTGTAATTTATTGTGTGGCAATTTATTGTTTTTGTTGTATTTATTTATTTTAATTTAATTAAAGGTCTTCAAAAATACAGATTTTAAAATTATTGTATCTTTAAAATTATTTATTGTGATATATTTTTAGAATCGTCTTGAAATTTACAATCTAAAAAAATTATACAAGGAGTACCGTTTAAAAAAATTGTCGATGACATCGTTACTCACAAATGGTTAACCCTGTATATTTCATTATTTCACGTTTTTTCCTAAAAATTGTTTGTTTAGCTTGAAATAAATTTATTCCATACTCTATGTACACAGTGTATATTATTTATACGGGGTGATTTGTGTGTATTATAAAGAAATTATTTATACAAAGTAATTTATATGGATTATAGCGTAACTAAAGTATCTGTGAAAAAATACTCAGTTTTGAATATTTGTAATGCCTGTATCGTTTAAAAAGTTTCTATTATCACATTTCTTTTGCAGATGTAATTCGGTATTCGTCTTTCAGTGTAGATTGTGTAAAAGTTTTTTTTCCTTTTATTCCTAAATTTTTTAACATTTCTGATGTAATCCAATCGTGACCTGCTTTACCTTATTTTGACAAGTTTATTGCTACCTCAACTTCTACGTTGATAATTTACCAATCATGGTTCATATTTTGGACACCAAACTACTATTATTTTTACAATTTTAAATAAGTGACAATTCTGTCAAACTAATTGTCAGTATATTTTTAAGTTGTTGAGATTAAATATACATTAAAATGAATTATTTTTATGTAGAATCTATAAATAATAGCATTTTTATTTGGTCCATATTTGAAAAAATCTTAAATTTGAATCAAACTATATAAAACTAATTTAATTACGAGTATTAAAACTAAAATCCTAAATGTGGAGGTGCAGATGAGGATACTGCATAAGTCCTCCACATGAGAAGTCCTGGTTCGAATGTTAGTGGGGGACTAATTAAAAAATGTTTTTTTAATGTTTATTTTATTATATAAATTAGTAAAAGTCATAAATTATTTTGTCTTAGCCTAAAATAATTTTTTAAAATTTATAGTATGTTGTAAGTGGGTCGTAGAAAAAATATTCTGTACAACTCGAGTGGATTGTCCATATCGCACTTACACTTCGTCTTAGTGCGATATAGCTATCATATCCACTCTTGTTTCACAAACTACTATTTCCATTTTTGTTTATGTCTTCGAAAATAGTATTAATTTCAGTTGCTATTTTCTCTTTATATAGTTTTGCAATCTCTCTTTCTTGCAGTTGGTATAATATGTTTTTGTCTATGTTTTTTTATTATTTTCTCTATTTTATATCCTGATTCTACAACCAATTTTGAGACTACAGATATATAACTTATATGTTTCAAAATTAAAGGATTATTTTAACAGTGGTAGTAGCATTTAATAAAATATATTTAATTTTTCAGCTAAATCCATTTCGACACAAGAAATATTTAAAAAATCCAATATACGATTAATCACAATTTGCCCTGGATGGATCGAATCGAATATTTTGCATAAACAGGAAAAAGACGTTCTTGACATAGTCGCTAAAGAATTATATGCTATATGTGAAAAGGTTGTGCCGTAAGTATTTGTTTGCCTAATTCTTATCTCATTATTCTATCATTGTTACCTGGTAAATTCCCATCTATATTAAAAATGTTTAGCGACCGATTTGAATATTAAGTATTTTCTCTCAAAAAATGTTGAAAAAGTAATAAGATTGTTAAAATCATACATTTTAATGAAAAATCTAAACACGCATCTGTGCAGCCACCCACTTGCATTCTTCAAGCCAGGTGGATGATAATAAGATTACTGAATAATTCTTTATATTAACTCAACATAACTTTAGGAAGGGCAAAATCTGGGTTTTAGACTTAGATAAAGTTTTAGAGGAGTTTTCTTTGAATAACTTTCTTATTTTATTCGTTACCGAATGGTGTTTGTTAACGTAAAGAATGGCCGATCTAATAAAAATCTTGTTGATTATGGGATTCCTCAGGGGTTTGTGTTGGGACCGTCATTATTTCTACTTTTTATTAACGACTTGCCTCAATGCGTCGATGCGAATGTGTTCATATTATTCACTAACGATACGTCATTAGCGATCTTTATACTTATTTTTTCAAACTTTTATGAATTGGTGTTCTGATTTTTCACACACTACTAAAATGTATCTAATTATTTTTATTATTATCTACTCCAAATAATACCAATCAACATATTTAAAGTTTCCTTCTTAAATGTATTTATTTACGTTAATGAATTTTCCAAAATTTCTAAAAATGTTTCAGAACTACGATATTTTCAAAACTAATTATTTTTTTTTAGAGCGGAGTAGTATTGGTGAGTCAGTGTTAAAAATAATAGATACAGCAAAGCATGGATCAGTATGGGTATTAGAAGACGGTAAAACACCATATGAAGTAGTGTTTCCAAACAGGAAAGATATGTGCTCAAAATAATAGGTACATCTAAGAGCAAACTTTTTCAACGCAGCAAAAGATTAAACAGCAACATCCATCTCTTTCTAAAAACTTTATTTTTTTATTACATCATCATTTATTACTAAATATTTTTTTAGTTTTGTATAAGTACAATTGTTACAATAAATAAAAATTAAGTATGGTATATGTATAAAAAAAATGTAGCTATCATTTTCAATTTTACAATACAGAAAAATTGTTTTAAAATCCACAAAATCTCTTTCCTATTGTTCATCGTCGGTTTTCTTCGATTTCAGTTTCTTGTCTGTTTCTTACACATACTAAAAATAAATAATAAAACAGAATTAGTTAATTATTTAGGTTAGATTCGAAAACCCAAATAAATTATAATGTACCGAGACAGAAACCAATTTCTATACTTGATATTAGGATCGAATAATATAACCACGACTTTTTAACAAAACATACAATTATCAAAAAATTATACCACAGTCAATACCAAAAACTATTCTATTATTCGTATGTACTGGGTCTTCAACAATACCCGAAACCCACGTGACCAAATCGTCATGACAGCGGTTGGTGAAAATAAAAGTAAAAAATCCCTAGATGTGAGCTAGTGCCGTAGGTAATTTATTACAAAATCGGTCTTCTTTTTTATGGTTTGCAAGTATGAGAACAAAATTCAATTAGGTAATTGTTACAATTACAACAAATAATTATATTATTAATTAAAAGTGCTTTACATTATTGTAATTTATTGTTAGAATTCAATATTTTAATTAGATTTAGTCAAATGCAAAAATCTCATTTTTAAAATTGTTATAATTAACATAACCATAAAAACTGAGCTATTATATGTCTAGTTTAGTAGTTTGTAGTTGTCACTATGAAAAAAAAATCGACAAGGGCAGTATTTGGCAATTATTACAGTTTAAGTACCTACTGTGGTAAAAAATAACCTATTAAATTTTCCTGAGAGTTAGTAATCTTACATAGAAGTATCAACTTTGAAGTATTAAAAGAGAAGAACATCATTTCACCTGCTGTGAAATTAGAATAACTAACGCATATCAGGTTATTGCGATCAAATGTGTTAATGATAAAAACTTACAAAAGTGACAGGTCTGACAGTTCAATTTAGTTCCTTTTATGTCAAATGAGGCCCTTTCGATAGGTTTCTGATGGTTATCAGATCACGTGGGTGTCGGTATTGTTGAAGACCTGGTATAAAGGACATACAAAATTATCCGTTTTTAATATCGATTTGAATATAAGGCTGTTTTCGCGGTACACTATTTTAGCATTTTCATCTTACTTATTTATCATCGATATATATTTTTTTCAAAACAACTTAGACCGCAAAAGGATCTTTGTAGAAATTAAATTTTAAAAATTATCTTTAACATTTGAACAAATAACACTCAACCTAAGCCGGCTCTGATCAGCATGTTGGCGATCGAGGTTGCCAGATCATTGCACTTTCTAGATTATCTTGCAACGGACGATTGATTTAATTGATTCTTAGTATTCAGTTTTATAATCCCAGTAATGGTAAAAACTTATTATTAAGTGCAATTTAAACTTATTATCTACTTAATTACTCTAACTCTTATTGTTGATTTTTGTAAATAATGTAAATTGGTCACATCTGAAGAAAAATTTGTAATTAGAAACATATTATGTAATGTTAATCCTAGATTGATAAAATTACCCACAGAAAAAAATACCAGTGAGATTGATGACAACGTGAAGTTATTAAAAACTCTCCTTACCACACATTTGAAAAACATTCAAACTGTGCACAATATTTTTGTAAAAGAGAACCAAACGACAGATATTATGTGACAGAAATAGAAGAATGTGGACTAATCACATACTTTGATTTTCTTTTACTATACGGAGAATGGTCGCATTGCGCAGCTTTCTGAGTGCCTTTTAAAAGGAGATAGAAAACTCCGCCATTTTTAACCCTTATTACTTGTTGCCTACATCTTGGCGCAATATTTTTAATAGGTGCGTTTTATTCATCCGCTTCTGCTTCGGAATTGTCGGTTTTCTTGTTTTAATCTGACAGGTTAAAACGACTAAACCGACAATTCCGGTGTTACAGGTTTAAATCGATGAATTATAAATTAATACAATTACCATTGAATAGTTTATGTTAAACATAATTAATTAGTTATTATTTAATTACTTAATAGTTAATTACTTACTTCAGGAAAAATCAAAGAGGATACATTTGTATTTTAACTGTTTATTGTTTAAAATAACCTAGTTCAGTGTTTACATTTATTTTGAACTACTTTAGTGACCTTTGAACTCTGCTCTTCTTCTTTTATTCTAGAGACATTTTACAACTAGGTATGCCTGTACCTGGCTAAAAGGCCTACTATGGTCAAATATTTTGGCATCACCAATAAACTCCTAGGTCAGGAAATGTGTCTTTCTCGCTCACTTCCTTTTCTTTTTGTTCTTGGTTGAAATTTGGGCCATGAGGTTTCTGTAACTTTCGACTTTATTCGGATTTGTTCAACCTAAAAACAAATTAAGTTTAAGCTAACATCTAACAGATTAAGTATATATATAACATTAATCTAAGTGGATTTTACCCAGTTGGGGATAATTATACTTATCTTAAAAGGGGCCGCTTCTGATCTCCGGTAAGCATTCTTCATTTTCTTTGGTGTGAAAATCTTTCTATTTTATACATATTACTTTTAGGCCATTAAGTGTAGACATTAAGTCTCTACAATATCTAACTTTGGTCATCTAGCTTCTAGTATTACCAGATATTATTTACTGCTGCTCGTAGAGCCGATTACTACTTTCACTATAGAGCACCTCCTTAAGTCTCTTCTAAAAGTACCACTCACGTGCCGTATATATTGGATTGGTGGCTGGAACCCACTTCTTCCTTTACCAGCACTTGACTGTGAGCATTATATCATAGCTGTAGACGCCGCTAGGAACCGATATCGCCAAGTAAGAGCTTTCCAATTTTATACTCATCCGATTATTAGCAGCCGTATAACCCTGCAAGAAAAATAAGAACATTTAATTAAATAGTGACATACATATATATTTAAAACTTGTGAACCTGGGTAGTACTACAAAGGGGGAAATTTATTACCTATCGGTATTTGTTACATACCAATTGGGTTTCTAATTATCACTATCTACCTAACTACCTACTTATTGCACAAATTAAAGAAAAACACTACTTACTCATTGTTATTATTTGGTCACACTAGCATATCAAGTTTCTCCTTAAGAATCCATGCCACTCTCCGGCTTACAGTGGCATTAAAATAGACTATCTCTAGTTTTGAGCTAGCAGCACAGTTCTTGTAACTTTGATTTCTAATTCGCCTTCAGGATCAGAATGTAAAATAGTAATTAAATGGCGCCCAACGTGGGCGGCGTCTACAGCTATGATATAATGCTCACAGTCAAGTGCTGGTAAAGGAAGAAGTGGGTTCCAGCCACCAATCCAATATATACGGCACGTGAGTGGTACTTTAGAAGAGACTTAAGGAGGGTGCTCTATAGTGAAAGTAGTAATCGGCTCTACGAGCAGCAGTAAATAATATCTGGTAATACTAGAAGCTAGATGACCAAAGTTAGATATTGTAGAGACTTAATGTCTACACTTAATGGCCTAAAAGTAATATGTATAAAATAGAAAGATTTTCACACCAAAGAAAATGAAGAATGCTTACCGGAGGATCAGAAGCGGCCCCTTTTAAGATAAGTATAATTATCCCCAACTGGGTAAATCCACTTAGATTAATGTTATATATATACTTAATCTGTTAGTGTTAGCTTAAACTTAATTTGTTTTTAGGTTGAACAAATCCGAATAAAGTTCGAAAGTTACAGAAAACCTCATGGCCCAAATTTCAACCAAGAACAAAAAGAAAAGGAAGTGAGCGAGAAAGACACATTTCCTGACCTAGGAGTTTATTGGTGATGCCAAAATATTTGACCATAGTAGGCCTTTTAGCCAGGTACAGGCATACCTAGTTGTAAAATGTCTCTAGAATAAAAGAAGAAGAGCAGAGTTCAAAGGTCACTAAAGTAGTTCAAAATAAATGTAAACACTGAACTAGGTTATTTTAAACAATAAACAGTTAAAATACAAATGTATCCTTTTTGATTTTTCCTGAAGTAAGTAATTAACTATTAAGTAATTAAATAATAACTAATTAATTATGTTTAACATAACTATTCAATGGTAATTGTATTAATTTATAATTCATCGATTTAAACCTGTAACACCGGAAGCAGAAGCGGATTATTAAAACGCACCTGATATTTTGCTTGCTGCTGTCAGTGTCAGTGAATATTATTTTTGGAGTCACAGTTTATTGCCAAAGAATCAGTTTAGCTCACTCGGACCAGTTGAAAGTTTCAAAATAACATCCACTCCAGGGATACAAATTCAGGATACGCAGAAGACTGCTGTTTTATTATAGACGGTTGTCATATATTGTATTATTCGAGTTGCGCAGTGTATAAACTGGAACATTGAGATCAGTGCCGACGCAGAGTGAGCGATCTGATTCTTTAGCTATAAACTGTGTCATAGGGTTCAAAATGGCCGCGCCCTATGTTGGGCGTGTCGGACCTCTCTCTTGCCCCGTATAGTAATCAAAGTATGTGGGACTAATGGATAACAGTATATCTGCTTGTAATAGACCGGTTCAAAACAGCCACAGTTTATTATTGAACATGACCAATAATGTTGCAGAGACATATAATTCAATCGTTGCCAAAGGACCCCGCACTTTTTTATAGGGAAAAATGATTTCAGTCCCAAGGTCTAATTTTTTGGTGGAAAATGTAGATCTCAACATCCTGAACAAAAAAGGTAATGGGCACAAAAAAATCTACCGTCAGGATTTTGCGCTACGGGCCATAGGAAGTCGGCACATGGGTTTTCAGGTTTCAGGTCATTTTTATCAAAAAAAGAGCGTGTTTCAAGTGGCCGATTATGAAGACATGCATTCCTGGAGGTGTGTTAGAGTGAAAAACGTGATTCTTGGCATTTGCTCTGGCATCGCGGACGAGATCTAATACTACTACAGGTTCCGATCTCCCGTGTATAGTTTGTTTCGTGTATACATATAATCGTTTATAAACCTTGTACCCCGTATATTCCACATTTTCGATTGTTTATTTACACGGAGATTCCTACAATATCCCCCTCTCTCTCTAATCTCTTTCTCTTGGGACCTTAGGTGATATGCATGCATTATAGACATCCGATAACAGAGAGCGGTTCTCTTGAAAACCGCGAGAGGAAAATATTGCTTAC